GTAAGGGAACAGAGAGCTGAATTTGCTGTGTACATCCTCTAAATTTACTACCTGCCTCTGTATTCATACTGATTTTTCCTTTTCAGATGAGATTATAACATGACAAAAGCATTGTCTGCTCGACGAATGCATTAAAATTTGATTGCACTATGTTCTCGAAGAAAAATCCGAGTAAAACATAGTGGAATCACAGACAGCTCGGAAACGTCTTAAATTAAACATTCAACTCTTTTCTGCATTTTGAGATCTCTTCGGACTCTACAAAATGTAACCTCAAAAAGTTATGACTAAAACGGCGAGATCCACTTTTCCAAAAAATAAATTGAAATATAGCTAGCGGCGTTTTAGTCATGACTTTTTGAGAATAGATTTTCCCGAGTCCCAAGAGAGCTCAAAATGCAGAAAAGAGTTGAAAATTTAATTTAAGATGTTTCCGAGCTGTCTACGATTTTTCGTTGCGAAGATTTTATAGGGACTCCCGTCACGGAATCTGCCGTGACTCTCACGGGACATTTTTCAATTTTGTTTAGATTTTTCGGGGTTTTACTGGGACTCCCGACGAGACCCCATGACGGGAGCCCCGTGGGACTCTCGCGGGAGTCTTGACCAGGGATTACCATGTACTAAATTATTATCAAGTAATCGCATGCATGCAAAAAACGTAACAACAAAATCAGTTCTTATTCATTGCTTTCCACGTCGTCATGAGTGCTTATGTCTGAATCACGAGTTTTGTAAAAAACATCTGAGTATGCAAAATGGCGCGAAAGTCGCCTAATTCTTGTAGATTTTGTAGAACTATTGAGTAATAGACCTTTGTACACTTCTTACACAAGTGCACGTTTCAACGCAAATTGCATCTCAGTTGAAAAACGAATATTTTCGCAGAAATAATGGTAGATACTTGATTAAAATATGTATTGTATCTCAGTTGAGACGTTAAGATATATCTATTAAAAACAAAAAAGAAGGGTGAAAAAACAAGTGAAACCTCTAACTAAAAGAAATGTACTAAGGGAACTTTTTTTTCTATTTTTGACTTCCCATTTGTATATTGTTAAGCTCGTTTTAACTTAATTGCCTCATTAATGCCTGTTTTTAACTTATTTAAAACGATAAACTAATACGAAGCTTTGATCGAACACACGAAGTTCATCGTTGCAGATGAATTGCAAAAATCAACTGCGCTGTTCTTTCCTATATTCTGCATAATGATTAAAGTTGTGCAATGACTCAATGTTATCCTTCAATGTATATTTTTTTGTTGTGGAAGCCATGTAGAGACCTCAACAATGTCCATTAAAGTCTACAGTATTTTTTCCCTATGAACGGATTTTGCTTACTGAGTTTGTGCCCAATATAATAGCTTCATCGAAAAAAGCCTTGCTCCTTTCAGCGTAAAAATTCTTGAATTAAAAGAAATTAAATTTTCAGCGAAGATGCAGCATAAAAATAAAAATAAAATTTTTCTGATGGTATGCCCGTTGGCTCTGAAAGCTCAGAAGAACAATAAATCTGAAATTTTGGTTTATTCTTAAGGAAATATTTGAGTTTTCCGCTTCATTAGTATCTCCACTCGACTAATATTATGATTTCTCACGAGAGGAGTAGACTTGTATGTCTTCCAGGTCAAGTTTCACATTTAAGTTAGTAAGAAAGAGATCCAGGATCAACAAAAACGGTAAAAAAACAGTCCGTTAATGCGGCTTTTTTCTCTGCAGCAATTGTCATCCTTTCCTCACATTCAAAGATAGTGTCAACTGTTATTCATATCCTGATTGAGAATAATTACTAAAATGCAGAACAGAAAATTGGAATACAGAAACAAGTGACTAGTAAAAAGGTTCTAACTATTTTATTGAAAAAATTGTTGTTGGGCTATTCAAAAAAATTTTGAGATAAGTATGACATATATGACTGTGTAGACCAGGTATTATTATTCTATATTTAGTTTTCCTTCAAACTATTTACTTTTCTCAAAAACTAACTTCATCTCGTCCATCGCAAATTCTCCGCATACTAGAGATGTGCAGGATAGCTGTTCATTCAGCTCTAACTCAATACTGTGAACATTTTTTGAGTTCTAGGGCGCCCTGCACATTTCTACAACATTTGTCCACATTATATTATTTTTAAATAAGAATAATAGGCATTTTGACAAAAACAATCTATTCTGTTGCTATTAAATAATAGAATTGTCAGTCAAGAGATGAGGTCGTAATGAGTCGATAAATTATGAGACGGCACATTTTGATTTATCTTATCATCAATATCAAACAGCACTAATTACACCTACCATAAAATAATTATCCCCACGAGTTATGTATTTTGATAGTTACCCACAGAGATTATTCGGAAAAACAATGATAACAATAATATTTGTCTTAGATAATATTTACAGTATACTGTGTAAAAGTGAACTTAAAAATCCATAGAGTTGATACCATATTAGCATTGATTTGTATATGTAAATTAAAATATTATTTGAAATAAAAATCTCATAAATAAAATTATTAAATATCAAATTATAAATGTTACAAAATATCAGTATCAGAGAAGATTATTTATCGACGTTTTTTGAATATTGTATTTCGGAAATTCAGTATACAGATCATTTTTTGTGTAAGAGAAAGTGAAAGCGTATCAATGAAACTGTGGATAAAACACACCATGTCATAACTGCTTCTTAGTAGAAGAAATACAAAGTATGTCATTCTTCCGTTATTTTTTATAGATTTAAAATGATATGAATTTTATCAATTTTCAGCATCAATTAATTTTATTGTTATTTTATTTTCTCATCGTGCTGATAAGAATATAAATATACAAACGAATGTGAGTATTCAATTTCAGATGAAACTTTATGCTGATGATGTATAATTGAGCGTTAAATACTTAGTGTAATAAAATAACAATATTTATCAATCACTGTACTTTTCATTTCAATTTAATCTTTTCTAAGCAAAAGATGGAGTAACACTGCTAATTTTTTTGTTATAAAACATCATCACTTCATAATATGATATTTAGACCCAAAGTAACTAGTGACATTTGGATCAAACTATATATATATATATATATAGGTGATAGTCTAAGTTGCTTATTTAAATCATAGAACAAATGGTAAATGAAGCATTATGTGAAATAATGTGGAGAAAATAGCTTCGACATTTAGAGAAAATATCATTGTTTGTTTGTTCTTTCTTTCTTAAAAGCGAAATTCATTATCTATCACTACCCGTATTCATATACGCCAACAAAAAACAACAAAGAAAAAAAGGACTGTTTTAACAAAAAAAGAAGCGCACATATGTTTTTTCAATATTGTTTTAACATCAAGCAATATTTCTTATAATGAATTCCTACCTTTTTTTTCTCAACATTTGGTTATGAATACATAGAAGAAAATTGCCCAAGTTTAACTGACAATTGATGTTCTATTTCATTAAGAATTTTCTCTATTGTCATTAGTACTTGATTATCATTAGTTACTACTCATTAGAAGTTATTCCCAATAATTTCGATAGTTCATAGAGCTAATTTAAGTGTTTCATCAAGACACTACAAACTTTTTTAAAAATTATAGATTATTTTTAGATAAGAATAGTACAAAATATTCTCGGCTATTTAAGGTTAGTTTTCTTGTCTAACTCGAACGTCTATTGTCATTTGCAGTATGTATTTCGTGTATTGTTTTTCATAAAATTAGCTTAAAAAAAGCACTTAGAGCGCTTGAGCTTGCAAATAAATTTTATGTCAAACAACAATATATATATATATATCCACAGGTGGTAAAAGAGAAAGAAAAACGTGTTATATATACATACGTGAGTACATACATAGAGAAAAATTCAAGATATTACTCTTATTGAAGCTAAATGATTTCATCGTGTGGTGATGTTGTTATTATTATTTCATCATCTGGTTATCATTGCCGGAATAAAAAAAATGTTCTAGTTAATTAAATGCAGTGGTAAAGACGAATTTGTTCGTTCAATAAACCGTAAATGTAAACGATAAAGACAAAAAAAAAAAGAGAAGTCGCTTTTTTTCCGTTAAATATATATATATATATATATGTATGTGTATGTCTGTCTAAATTGTCATGAGACTATTGAAAATTATCTTAAGGCAATTGATTGGTGTTTGTTTTTATTTATGATATACGAATGACCGACTCGTAAATTAATAAATAAAATAAAATGTCTTGATATATTTAATCTGAATGTTGTTGTAAATTAGATTGACTATTACTGTCACCACCATCATTTTCAGTCGTATTATCTTCGACTTCTTCCTCATCTCCATCATCATTAAAATAAGCTTTATTCAATTTTTGATTTACTTTATCAATTTTTGCCAAAACTGCTCCACGGACACGTTTGAATTTCATTCGACGATTTTGAAACCAAACTTTCACCTATAAAATACAAAAAATTAAATATTATCTATCTTTCGTGATGTGTGAAATACTCACTTGTCTTTCTGTTAATGAAAGTGTAACGGCTATTTCGTATCGTCTTAAACGTGTTAAATAATTGTGTTTTAAAAATTCTCGTTCTAATTCACGAATTTGTGCTTTAGTAAATGCTGTTCGTTCTTTACGAAGTTTCGATGATATTCCATCAGGTGGTGTAGACGATTCATTTGAAGAGGATGCTAAAAATAAAAATGTTTAGTTTTATTCTTGGAGTCAAAATTTTTCCTCGATACCAAAACTGAAGCAACAAGAAATAAAAGAGTGAACATTCATTGATAAACTAACTTGATGATGAGGCTTTTGGACTCGATTGTGTATTTGTTTGTTCATCAAACACTTTATTTTGTTGTTGCTGTTGTTGTGATGCCTGTATAAAACCAATTTGAGATGCTGTCGATATGTGTGAGGGTGAAAGTGTTGGCACTACTGAATGTCCAAAATGTTGAATATTCTGTCGATCACGATCCATTGAATTTCCAAAATTAAGATTTAAATAAGCAGCGGCGGCCACAGCTGCAGCGCTCGCAGTCGATGGAGAAGAATTAGATGAAATTGATTGTTTTCCTAACAGACATGATGATGTTGATTGTTGTTGCTGTTGTTGTTGTTGTTGTTCATCATTGTTGTATGATGTTGTACGATGATAGCGCATTTCTGAATCTGTTTCGTTTCGATATTTCAATGGATGTGTTTGAGCAAGCCAACAATCATGCGGTGAATATGTATTATTTATCGAAGGTGAACCAAATGGAAGATTACTGTAGGAGAATGGGGGTCTCATAGACGCCATGTGACCGTACGAGTGAAAACTATAGTCCATTGGTGAATAACCATGTATATATAATCGTTGATCCATTTTAATGTCAATTGTTCAAATACTGTCTCATTGCATATATATATAAAGGTACAGTAAGATAATTAAGTAAAATTCCAATTCACCGCTTTTTATTCCTAACAGCTAAACAATAAATTTTGAAAACATAATCATCATTAGCAGATACTAGATTCATGATAGAAATCGAATTCGATTAAATCAGCTATTCTTCTCTTCATCTTTTGTGCTATTTACAAAAAAGCATATCTCCATTTCTCGACAGAAAATATCGAAATTAGCTTTAGATCGTTAGAAATAGCCAAGAATGGACAATGGCTGACTTGAAAGAGACGTGAAAGAAAAGAAAATGAAATTTTTTTAATGAAAAGCTATAAATCTTAGTTTAGTTTATCTAGCTGATTTTATAATATAACTAAAGTACTTTGTTTATGAGGAATGACTAACAAGTTATATTCGTCTTTGTGTGTCTTTTATTCTCTAAAATCAAACTCCAAGCTTGGTATCTATTTATACTTAAGCCTGTCTTTTATTTTAATCAAATATTTCTTTCAGATTAAACAATTACTTATTTCACTTCTTTTTATGTTATGTACGTACGTTTTCAGTTTTGTAAGATAACTGGATGTTGTTTAGATTAATGTAATAACTAACAATTTAATTACTGCTAAAACCTTTTAACACGTTGTCAACCGTTTAACGTATAGAGAGCAAGAATATTATAGATAATAATTAGCACAAATCAAAATGTCGGCATATCGTCTATTTTTTTTTCTTTTTATAATAACGCATACTTATTTGAGTGGCTCTTCTTGTTCTCTTAACCAATGAATGAAAATAAAAGAACCGATAGAAAAAAATCTAATTCTTTTTCTTTTTCTGTTATCTATCGAATGAATCATTTTTGTCCATTGTTCAATTGTCGAAAAATCAAACAGTGATCGATGCCTAAATAAATGACGAAGAAAACAAACGTTCACTTGTTTTAGTTAAAATTTAGCAATAAATTAATATTTTCTATGTGTTTGATCACATACTTGGAAAAACAACATGTTGTCTTTGATGCAATACGGTAAATAGAAAAAATATTAGTGATGAACATTAATTATGTTTGAAAACTCAAATATTCTATTTTTCAAAACTTTAATCATCTTTGTCCCAGTTAGACACTAATTCGTTTTTGAAGATTTTCGAAAAATAAATTTTTAATTCTATTTTCTCTAAATGTTTTTTGAATGCATAATATTATCCGATAGATTTTTCTCTACAAAGTTTGCATTCTTTTCTGATAAAGCGAAGACAAGACAAATTTCAATTAACTGAAACAGAATACTCGCAATATTTACTTTTTTTCTGTATTATGCTATAAAAGTTCGAACAGCCTCAGCTCGTGCGATTTTTTCATGAGTTGCATTGAATGCCAGTATCAGTTTTAAAAAAAACTTTTTACCTGTGCTGATCCGCTGTCGTTTCATAGAAAAGGGACTTGGCTACAACCTTATAGCATGGATAATTAACGGCAGTAAATGAGACATTCAGTTGTTCACATTAGTACATCAAAAACTAGAATGTATAATCGGCACATCCATAGCTCCAGTATGTTTATTATTGACATCGTCAGGATATTTCTAATGAATGAACGTTGTTCTAAATAGTTTTCGTGAAATCTCAGAGCTAATATGATGTTAGCCTACTCGATGTCTAGCATATCCACAGTCTTATTTTGAAAAGATATTTTCACAGCTCTATTATACCTGTGCCCATCAAATATGTTACCAGAAATTTCTTCAAACTGAATACCTCGGTAGATTCATAGAGTATTTTTCTAAAAATGGTAAAATATTATAGAATAGTAAACTTGGGAAGATAGAAAGAAAAGTGGATCATGTTTTGATGAACATTTGACTGAATCAATCATCAAAATCAAACTGAAATAGTAAAAAGACCAAGTAACGTTCATCTATGATTCAGTCGGTTCTATACTGAAGTTTTCTCTACCATTGGAATATACTATAAAAATAAATGTGTTCTGGTAACAAGTGCAAGACAGTTTGCGATTCATATCGAAATAATAAATTCAAACTAACATAAACTAGCTAAAATAAACTGGATATACAGTATATATATATATTGGTCGTAGTTCGGTATCTACCCAATAATCGCACATTTTTGTCCGATGGGTTCAGCACTTTTTTAGTGTACATATGTGTGTTATACAACATGAAAGAACTGTCTGTCCTAACTCAACAATCGCTTTCCTTTTGACCAACTTTAACCATACAGTTCGATGTCAATAACATCCATTAAATGCAAAATGAAACTCAAGTTAAGTTAAACTCTTGTTAGCGTTATTTTATACAAATTGTATGAGTAACAAAAGCATGAGATGCGATTATCGTCTAGTAGGTAGAACAATTAATTCGATCTTTAAGGAGGTAGAAAATCACAGATAAGGTGCTGGAAATTCAAAGTATGAGCAAGATTTTTTTCCTTTAATTTATATATGACTGGATAGAGCACATCGAGCTGAGTAAGAAAAAGTGATTTTTAGTTTTTTTTGAAAACATTTTTTAAGCAAGACAAATTTAAAAAGTTTGTAGGGTCTAAAATTTTGAAAAACCTTTGAGTTTCAAAAAAATTCAAATGTTTTTTCAATTCATTTTTCAAATGATGTACTTTTTATTCTTTTCCGACCACCTTAGTCTTTTTTAATTTTACGTGGAAAAATGACTGAGAATTTCACCAAAACCTGAATACCAACGAAAATTTTTGAAATATATATCATTCGACTCAGTTTTTTTGACGCTGATTTCTATATGATATTTTAATTGCATAAAGATGAGTTGTGATGGAGAAAATTGGGAAGGACGGGCAGAATTCCGACTTTTTCGCTTCAGGTTTAGAAAAAATGAATTTTCTCAATGATAAAGCAAGATAAAAAACCAGTGATTCATACTTTTAAAGCTCGTCTGATGGCGGTTCCAATGAAGCAAAAAAATCGTCTTCATCTCGTCACAAAAACCTAGATAGGTTTATAAAATTGTTGACGAACTTTTCACATACGGAGTCCAAGACGTCCATACTGGATAAACTTTTGACTTTAACCTCTATCAAGCATCATTCTAATACTCGGTTTTAAATGCTGAACCTGAAAAAACTTTGAAAAAATTAAAAAAATGAAAAAGAAGAAAATTTGAACTTTTTGAAACTGAAAGATTTTGCGAAATTTTAGACCCTGTCAATTTGTCTTGCTTAAAAAGTCTTTTCGAAAAACCACCTTTTCTTACACAGCTCGATGTGCTCTATCCAATCATATATAAATAAACGGAAAAAAAAATCTTTCTCAATTCCCAGTGGATACTTAGAAAGATCACTATTATTTGATATACAAAATCCTCAACTCAGACCAAGCTGAGACTCTGTTTCGTTCCCTCTATCAGTGTCATATTGCGACTGTAGGCGGCATTTTTCTGCAGACGATATTCGTTACAATATTATTATCGTTTAAAAAAATGAAATTTTATCAACACTTATACACGTCGCGGGTGCGCACTAGTGTGGAATGATAATTTTTGTCGGGCACTATTACACATCAGTATCCAATTTCCTTTTCCAACCACAAGTGCGCACAGCTTTCAGTTCAAGTTTCAGTCTGAAACTTATTTTGCAGGTTGATAATTCGTTTAACGGGCCCACCCTCAGGAAAAAACTTTTTTATCTTCCATCCGATTTCGATGGCGCTTTCAGTGACTAATGCTTACTGTCCTACGAGCTTATGCTAAGAATTTGAAATTGAAACGCTGACGCGCTGCCGAGTTATTGCGTGACTAGGGGCAAAATGGGGCTCTTACTAAACGCGTTATAACTTTTTTGTTGTAAGGAGCAGAAAGCAGCGAGAGGGCTCAAATGAAAGTAGACACCTAAATCTAAAATTTAATTTGGGGCGATTTTTCAATTTCGCTTCTGTTCATTCTTTACACGTATTTTAAGTCAGACCTCTGAAAATAACCCTAATCCGGCGGAGTATTTGCCACTTATCTCTGCACAGAAAACAAAAATCAAAAATCGCCGCTGATTAAAGTTTAGATAAATGTCTTAGCTTTAAAATAAAAAAAGAATGAAGGTTTTACGATGAATCGTCTAGAATCCCATTAGGTCTCCTCCCAAAACATTGAATTTTTGGCAAAGTAAGATGGATTCTAAAAGATAACACTTTGGGATATTGAACCGTATGGTTACTTCAGTTTCGAAGAAAACATCAAATTCTTGAGGGGGGTCCTCTTAAAAGAAAATGTTATAAAATGAAATAGATTATTGATCACAACGAAAATCGATGCACGTTACCATTAGCACTTCGAAGTAACAAAGAGATGGCTCTAGAGATCGTGAATCATAAGATAGATGTTTAAACGTCGTTACAATCAACGCCCGTTTAGTAGAATTTAAGAATTTTTTCCAGAGTAGTTAAGATTATTCTAACATTAGTCTGATTGCATTATTAAGAAATGAAGTCTGGTATTAGCAATCTGGCTTCGTTTATTTAATCATCAAGCAGACTGACCTATGGCAACAAACATGTCAATGGCTACTAAAAATGGAACTACCCTCATCGACGACAATGTAATAAGGTGTACCTAAATTTTCAGCAGTGCTGTAGTAAATTCAAGTATGATGAATGTAGGTGTATAATAAAGCTAATCAATCATAGAACTTTATTCATTTCGAACTTGTCTTGCATTGTTCTATAAAGAATCCTTTTTATACACCTTGTCGTGAAAAAATATCACATGCAGTAGAGTGACGGTGCTTCTAATTAACAACTTAAAATTTGCGCACTCGGAAACACTGTGACATGTTAATCTGTATTTTTTGATGCACAATGTGAGTCAGTACATTGTGAGTCACTACATTGTGTGTTTTAATACACTCCAGTTATTCGTGTCACTCATTTGAGTGATCACTCTGCTTTACATTCCCATTAGAAACACTGAGCTGTCGCGTGATTTTGTCTTCTTGACAGATTTATTGAAATATCAGCATTGAAAAAGTCAATTTGCAACGATATTTTGTTAATAAACGTTAAATATAGTTGTCCAACTTTAGATGGAGGTCGCCCGTTATGAACCAACTGAATATTCTCTCGTTCAAACTGATAACAATGATTATCGATTACCTCCAATCAATACACGTTCAGAAAACACTGTCAAGTATGTCATGAAACTTGTGAAAATCTACCAACTTTTCCTATAATCGTTTTTTTCTTTCCAATAAAATAAGATCTGGTGATGGATTGAGTTATACTATTGGAGACATGCGTTACACGCTACCACCCGCTCATGCTCTACGAGTAAGAAAGAAAAAACAGATCTTCGACATTCTTTTCTCACAAATTTCTTGTTACAGGCATTTTCTGAACAACAGACGGGTGAAATTGACTCTTGGCCAGGATCAAATATAATGAATTCTTCATCGAAGGCACTTGCTCTAAATAATAAAGGACGTTTAATTACAACCGGAACGAGTTTAAAAGGCAAGCTTGACACATCACCAAAACCCAAGTTTTTATCAATCATTGAAGATTATTTATACAATGAACTGAAAGTACTCAAATGTGAAGAAACAAAACCAAGTGACGCTCGATTGCAAGTGAGATGATTTAACATAGTTAAACACTGTTGATTCATTTCACAGAAATTTTTCGTAAGAAAGTTAACGATGTTTGATCTTACTGATTTTTCGTCATCTTTAATTCAACTTATTAGTGAATCTCTATGTAGTATATTCGTGTTGATAGTTAAAATAAATTTATTTTCTAGGTATTTCGTGAAGTATTTTCGAGCATTATCGACGATTTTAAAACATATAAGCCATTATTGTCTGCCATCAAAAATGAATATGAAATTATGATTTCCAGTTTAAATGAACGAATACAACAACTAGAACCATTACGTGTAAATTAACATCAGATAGATATGATTGTAAATAAAATATATTTTGTTTATACTTTTTAGCAAAATCTTGTGTTATTAAGTGAACAATGTGATAAAAAACTGATGCAGTTTCGAAAAGAAGAAAAAGACGAACTTGTTCGACTAAAGAATGACAAAAGACTATTGGAACTACAGTTAAGTCATTTGGTCAATGAAAAATCACAATTGAAATCCAATATAGAAAGGGTAAAATGAACATTTGATCTATTATTTTGTTTATAGTATATGATGATGTTCAATTATTGTTCAATAGCTTCAAGAAGAAGTTGTCGTTCAATATGAACTTTATCGAAAAGAATTGGATGCAAGAAAGTTATTGATTAATGATGCAAATGATTTAAGATATCAACAAGAAAAAAGAGCAGATGATAAAGAAGTAGATGATCAAGGAATGAAGAAGGATGATCCAATAATGATGAAAATTGCACTAAAGTAAGTAAAACATAATCGATAAATAATTACATATGAACTTTAAATCTATTTTTTAAAGACAAACTCGAAAAGATTTAGATCGAGCATTAACAAAATTAACTAAAATGGAAGCCGACTATAATGATGTTGTACCTCGACGGGATTTTCTTGCATTAGAAGTTAAATCAAAAGATTTTCTTGAAAGAATTAAAGAATTACAAGAACGAAATGAAAACTGTGTCAAAGAACTTGATATTTTAAAAACACAGAATGAGTAAGACTAAAATCATATGTAAATTTGCTAAGTAAAGAAGAATTGTTTTACTTGTTCTTGAAGAACTTTAAAAGAAGAATCTCAACGACTTCAACGTGAAAAAGATGATCTTAGCGTAAAAACGCAAGCAACACGAGATGAAATGACACCCAGGTAACAATAATGTTATTTTTAAATTCGTATTTGTGAATATATTTTAATTAATTTCAGACCGGAATGGAGTTTATGTGGGGAAGTAATTGACGGAGGTCAAGAACGTTGGCAATCAATAACAAATAATAAAACAAGTCAAGAAAAACTTGTTACAATATTAAATGAGGTTTGTTGAAATAAATTTTATTTAAAAGATTGACTTCTATTTTCTAACACAAAAAATGTTCTATCTGTTTAGTTCACTGGAGGTGGAAACGATGGTGATGATCAGTCGAATGTTGAGCAGTTGCCTCCTTATGGTGAAGGTGAAAATGTTCCATTTCATTTACGGTCAGCAAAACCAATTAAAAATCGTCGACTTACACGGCGCGATGTGGCCGTATTGATCACTGAGATTTGGAATGAACGACGTGTATCTGATAAACAGGTATTACAGAAAGATGACGATGGATTTTATAAATATATGTTTATTTTTTTTCTAGAATGGTCGAACAAAATCTCTTTCTGAATTTATTTATGAATTTTTCCGTAATCGTTTTGGAAATCATAATTCAGCTGTTGAAATGGCATACAATTTGGACTATGCCTGTAAAAAATTTAAACATAATGAAAATTGTCAGTTATTCCATAGTATCCTATCAGGACAAGTAAATAATTATTATATTCGTCAAATATATTTAAAATTTTGAAAATATCTCATTTTTAAGGCTGATGAAGATATTTACCATCATACTAAACAATTAATTGAACAATTATCGGAAAGAATAATGAAAGAAAGCGAGGGAACTAAGGTTAGTCACAGATAAACCAAGATAGACAAAGTTAAACTATTCATCAATGATCTAGGGAGTTGTATCAAGTCAAGATTTAACCTCAATGTTGAAGAAATACTTGCCAAACAAACCAACGAGCGATATCAGTGAACTGATAACAGCCGCAGAAAAAGAACAACCAACAGCAGACGAAAATATTGATGTAACAAAACTTTTCGCTGTTGTAAGTATTTGCTGGATAAACGAAAGTATGGAAGCTGCTAGAAACCATTGGAGAGTTATTGTTGTTAAAATAATTTTTCAAATAACAAAACATCTAGCAGCATTTGTACTCTTGTCTCATTACAATTATTTAGAAATCATTTCTCTTGATAGAACTAATCATATAAAATTCATTTTTTCTATAGGATGATGAAGATAATTATGGCGAATTTATGCGTGCTTTAAAAAAACAATTGAATAATGATAAGCAACAGTACGTCCAAGATGTGCAGGATAAGATAGAGAATATGAAGTGCGTAAAATTTGTTCTTCAAGTGTATGAAATAATTCTTTTTCTCTATTTTCGTGTTTAGTTCGGTAAATGCTAAAGATTTAGAAAATACTATCCGTACTGTAAATTCACAAATACGTCCCAATGAACTTGCACACATTGTTCAATGGGCATTTGAAGCAAAAGATGGCAGTCAAGCTCCGACACTTAGTGTCAATGATATTGTACAACGACTTCAAAATAGTGTTTTCTATCGACAACACACATTGGTTTCCTAAAGCAATGTTCTTGATTTTTTTCCCATCCAAAAAATGATAAAAGTGAACTTCCATATTTTCTCTTAACTTCCACTTATTGATAATGATACTCAACGCAAACTCTTTTCTGCTTGTGATTTTACTGATAACTTTTTTCTGTGTATATTTATGAATAAAAATACGGTGAACAAAAGTAAAAATTTCTTGATATCAATCATTTTTCTTCTTCAATAATTTATCGGCTAATATTGTACCATATGGAAAATACTCTCTGTATTATATCCATATTTTCAAATGCTGATAATTCTTTAAAAAATGTGAACTCGGCTTATTTCGGACAGCTATCGTGAGACTGATGTGTACATCTTGTGTTTGTACACTAACTCAATACGTTGAACATATGGTGCAATGTGAATGATTTCTGTAGAGTTTTTCTGATAACTTTCGAATATTTTTGGTGAATAATCAAGTGCAAACATTTTTTCCAACATGAACTGGTAGACATAACTGCTTTTTAACAAAAATTTCTGATTTATTCAGGTTCACATCATAATATACTGCCATATGGCCATAATAAATATCTAAATTAAATTTACTGTGATCGCGAACCAGCGTATCTTGTAATGTTAGACATTCAATTACTAATGAACGAATGATTTTCATTAGCTGTTTCACTAATGTTGACACCTTTACTAAATAGTTTACTGTTTGGCATTATGTGAGATCATGTATGTGACATTTTCCAGTTTTTTTACGAAAACTGTTTGATATACTAAAATCTTCACTATATCTTGATTTTTACTTGATGTAAAGATGATCAAGTATAACTTCTATAGTATACTTTAGTTAAGTCATCATCGAACCGAAGAAGCCAAAACTCAATAATATTTTCTGATGCATTTTTCCAAACAAAACTTAGTAAATCATCGACGTGAACGAACATAAAATTGAATAAATGAAGTAGTACTATTCGTTAGTAATACAAAGTTTTGTTTTTAATTGTTTCATTGGTCAGCGATTTTATCTCATGAGTTGAATTAGATTTTGGTAGTGGATTGATTCGAACGGATTTTCTACTTTTAACTATTTTCATGGAACATGGAGTATTTGATCAGTGGCTTAACACCTTATTGATCGTACTAGAAACTGAGAGAAAAAAAACGTTGCTTGCAAATTATTGTTTGATAAATTTGATTCATTTACCTAGCCATTTTCATCTGATTTCAAGATGAACTCTCTACTAAAAATTACCGTACACATTTTGCAATCAAGTTGTTGTTCGAGATGTGTATGTATTCTCGATGACATGATGATTATCGCGAAAAAAGTTAAACCATATAAGATTTTTGAAAATAATGGTATTGTTTTCATGTTACACATGCACAGTTATGGAAGGATTTTGAGATCAAATTGGCCAAAATCTCACTTATGCATATTTGTAGACCGATTAACCTTTAAAATATGAACGACATGAGATACGATCTAAACTATTCTTAAGACTATCACTAATACCTGACGCTATTCATCAACTCATTATTCTTCCTTACTCTAGTTGATAATGTTTTGTTTAGGGACAATGCATGTTTTCTTTCATTCATACTCACTTTTAATGAGAAATATAAAAAGAGACAGAAAACATATGAATTTTAACAAAAAAAACAACTCGATATTCTACGTTTATAAAAGAAAAAATTGGTTAAACTCTAGCCTAAAATAACAAGAGCAATAATTTTTATTGAATTATACAATTATACTAGTGTTTCTAAACAAGGTTTTGTTTGATGTCCGTTTACCATATTACTATCATCGGATATCAACGAATTAATTCCACTATCATCATCAGCTTCTTTTGTTATTTTTGAATCATCTCTTGAGTATAAATTATGTGAATCCATTATTGTTAGACCTATTGAGTTGTTTAGATGATCATGCGAAATTGTGTTATAGTTCAACTGTTGCTGAGATTCATCGACGGTATTAGACTGATTACTATAAAAACAATTATAATTCGGTGTCATTGAGCGAACATGAAGGTTGTTATTGTTATTATTATGCGATGATTGAGTTTCGTGTTCAAGATATTTTAAATCGTCAATTTTTTTCCCAATAACAATGTCACTTTCACGTAGACATAAATCTAAATCATGCATTTCTTTACATTGAAGCCTTGTTACTTCGCGACTACGATAAATAGAATTTTTTAAAGTGGTAACATCAGACGGTGTTTCAGAATTAGTGTTTAGATTATTACTATTTGTTGTCGTAATTGTACCGTAGGCCGAACTATTTAATGTTATTGGCAATGTATCATAAGTATTATCTTGTTGATAGAATAAAACACTGTTTAATTCATTTGATATTGCTCGTTCAACATCATATAATATGTTTGATTGTTCATTAATTCGATCTTGTAAACGTAAAATTTGATTACACAATTGTGTAGTGGTATACAATTGTTGTTTATCATGAACATTTGAAAATAAAAGTGACACATCTTGAGGATGTACTGAATTATCTATCGACATGTCATTTTGCCATTTTGTTGAAGCTGCTACTGTTGCTAATTGTTCATGAGATAAAACATTATATTGAGTTTGATGTATTTTTTCATCTAAATAATTGAGTAGTCGCTGTTGACGTTCTAGTATGTTTGAACATTCATTTAATTCATTAAGTTGATGTTGATATGGAATTGGTGACGATGATGCATGCGATAATTTTGGTGTTGTTGGTTTTATTATACCCAATGTACAAGGTAACGACGAGTCAGAAAATGATGATGATAATGGTTGATTTGGTGTTGACGTTTTTGTTGATAGAAATTTCTTTACCTTACTACGAAACTTATTATCGACCGATGATTGTTTTATCGTTATTAACTGTAAGATAGTTAACGGTAATTTATCAAATTGCCAATTTTTATATGATTTCATTACTTTTGAACGTCCTTTAATTATACGTTGAGTTATTAACGAATCATTTATTGATGATGTATTGTCTTTTGACGATAATGATGAACTAACAATTTGAATACATTCAGCAATCGCAAAACCCGAAACACTATTATTAGTTGTTAACAAATCAGCTTGTTGTAACAAAGCGTAAATCAAATCGTCAAATGTTGTCTTTTTTGTTATGCCGGTTACCCACTTTCGCTTTCCTTGTACCCATACGGGAATTTCTAATGTCAATTCATCATCTCCATTGAGAGATTTATTAATGCTGTTATTGGTATTATTCGTCATTATTAATCTTCCTAAAACAGATAAAATAAAACCAAATAAAAATTTAACTAACATTTTTAATGCTAGCGCAACGAAAAAATTTGATTTGCTTACTGCTAGTAAGATTAAGCGTTTGTAACTATCCTTTGTACCAAATATATTCCTATACATCTTTATCTAGTACAAGTAATTATCACAACATAAATATTATAAATAATATAACTTTTTTCTCAATTTTAAACTAAGAGCATGTGTGTAAAACAACAAAATAATAGCTGAATAGTTTAATTTTTGAAGTAAAAACACTCTTCAACAATGAGTAAATAAATATAAGTTGTTGAGTGGAAATTAAAAAAAAAATGAACATGTCGTGATTGTTTTTTTTAACTTTCAACACTATAGTACATTTTTTCGATCTATTTTATATATTCTACAAAGTACATCTGAAATCTAATCGATTATTAAGGACATTTTAAGTCTAAGGAGAATTTAAACACTATCAACCCCTTGGGACTACTTTTGATTACAACAACAAGAGTTTTCTTATATTCTTGACACCAAGGTAGATCACAGTGAAATAAATCCGATATCTTCTATTATCTTTAAAGATCTCTCAACCAAAGAAAAAAAGCCGAATTGAGAAAGAAAGCTAACTAGTCAAAAACGTCGAAACTAACCGAACATTAAAAAGTTAAACGTCAATGTACTAATAACATTGTAGCTATAATATCCAAGACTAAACCAGAGTTACGAAAAAGTATTAGTTAAACTGTATTACTGATTTACATAACTAAGACGCGTTTTATAATCGTTTTCTTCGCTAATATGTGTTTAATCGCGACAAATGGTGTTTAATTCGATGTTCTTCTCTCTACAGTGTCAACTATAAAGCTGAAAAATTCTTTTAAATCACGTAGGTCAAAGAAAAGAAAAAGAAATGAAACTTGACAAAAGTGAGAAAAAATACACTCTCATCATTTTCAAAACAATATTCAGCATATAAAACACGCACGCCTACCTTAAACATTTAGCCACAAACCAAATGAGGCCTCGATAAAATCGATGTATATAACAGAAATTCAATTAGGAAGAATTATCAAAAGAATAAACTAAAAGATTAAGAAATATCTTATCAAATAATGTTGTTATAACTTATTTGATTCCAATTAGGAATTTTTTTAACTACAAAACTTAATTCAACGATCGATTTCTACATTGAGAAAGCTATCGTTGCATCGAGATGAGATGCGTTAATAAATCAAAGAAAAATCACTTTAGACTATGAGAAAATACGTGATATCATACTAGACGGTCTATGAGATATATATATATATTATATTCGTTAGTTATGACATAAGACGAAAAGTAGTAAACACATGCGGCAGTTCGACATATATATTGTTCAAGTTGAAAGCCTGTATGTAATCAGGTTACAACACTATAGTGTATAATGTATAGCAGAAGAAAAAAAACGAGAATGGAATAAGTGGATAGATAGATTTTCTTTCTTCTTCTACCACTATTTGTAATACTAATCCAATCTGATAAACATCATTCTTCTTTCAACTCTAATCCTTTTAATAAATCTATAAAACATATATATATAATAATAAATAATTTCTTAGTAATTTTCCAGTTCGTTTCATTGATTCGATGCAGAGTATTTATAGATTTGTTTATACAATTTTGACGTAATCAAGGAATATAAGAGGGAAAGAAATATATAAAGCTATTTAAATTGTACCTACGCATAGCTGATGATGTTCAGACAGTGTGAGGAGTAATAATGAGAGAGGTTCGGTGCAACTCATGTATACAATGGGATCATGTGTGTATGAGAGAGAGAGACAAGAGTAAGAGAAACAGACAAATATATCTTTACTTTATTTTGTCAATATTGATCGTTTGGACAATACACACACACACAATATGTTCATTATGCATTATGACTGATACGTGTATAGTAGCAGAAATAATAACCTTCCGTTTACTAAAGATTAGTTCTTTTTTTTCGCCGTCGACAATGTTAAAAGAAATACACTTTAGGAGTGTAAATGAACACGCCGATCCAGACAACGACGTATTGATCAATATTGCTTATGTACCTTCGTTTCTTTTCTATATATTGAACACGCATATGTTCCCTTTCTAGGTCACTATGGATTTCTTTTCTCTCTTTCTTTCTCTCTCAATTTTATACCGTATATAGAATGAACGCATGAATGGATCCTACATAGTTAAAGTCATTCAATCGTTTTTATTAAAGGTACATTAGAATTTTTAACACATTCTACTTTCCTTCTTTTCTCTTTCATTTGCTTCCTGAAAAAGAAATTGTATTATGCCAAATTGTGTATAACAAAATTTTTGTACATGTCAGCCAAAAAAAGTCTCATGTAGAAGGAGAAAAAGTTTATAAAAACGGAATTTCCTCTTCTCTTTGTTTAAGTATCTTTAGTAACAACACAAGAGCTATTTAAAAGACAAATTTTTCATTTTTCAATCTACTTATTCGTATAATTATGAAACGGGTATATGATTGAAAAAATCTGTATACTCGGACATGAGTTTTGTAATAGTCTCGCTTCTAGTGGCTGTTTAATAGCAAAAAGTACCATATATATCCTATATCCTATCAAATTAACAAACTAAATTTAAAGAAAGAAATGTCACTTCAAAGTCTTTTTAATTCTTATAACCACACAAGGAGATCTTGTTGAAAGAAATGTGCATTGTTGTTTTTTATTTCATCACTTCTTTTGTGTTTCCGTTTCTTTATCGGTTGAGAGATTATATTTTTAAAAGTCATATAATCACGCCGAAAATCTCACTATATCGTACAGTCTTTTTTTATAAAATATAAAAAAGTTACGATAATCACAATTTTTGTAGTACTTAGATCTCTGATCCATATATCTCTACCGTCACAAAAATCTACCTATATTTTTCAAACTTGGCAAGATTATATTTTGATAGTTTATTTTAGTGAACAAGATCAAACAACTTTATCTATTCTACTTTCGATAGCCCATTTTGAATTTATAGCTTCTTCTAAGAGCACATACCTCTGGTGCTTGTCTGAAACATTGAAGTAAAACTGTTCATATTAGAATACAAATACAAATTATAGAAGAATAGTCTAAAGTCAGCGTAAATACAGAAAATTATAATACAAGGCCGCGACTGTACATTTCATATATAGTTGGTCAGAAAGAAAAAACGACAGTTGAAGAAGGAAAAAAAGAGAAAGAACGACTCATGACGTTTTGAGTGTCATTTGTCAAAAAATCACGTACTGCGTAGGACAATATTGCACCTATGTACGATATGAAGAAAACAGTTCTTGCCGGGTGTGCCAACATGTGAAATAGAAAGTGTACAGTAGAGTGAAAGTTCTTTTTTTTTTGATTTAAAAGGCAATAGATAAATTGAACGGAAATGAGAAGTGTAACGTTATTCTAACAGGAAATAGAAAACAAAAGGTTTTTTTACTCGATGAAATAACCATATAATTTGTTATTCGTCACGAATGATACACAATTATAAGCATCTATCGAGTTTAATTTAATTCCAGGAAAAAAATGTCCTTTTATTCGAATACAACAGAGGAAATGAAAAATAATGCCAGTAACTGTAAATGAGAAAAAAAAGAAAGTATCAAACGAATTGGAAATAACTCTATTCAACACATAAAATGAAATTTGTAGCGTATAGGTATTCCATATCCTCTACGTTTTCAAAGTATCGTCACTATTTGTACAATCTTTGAGGTAACAGGTACAAATCCTTGATAAAAGAATGAGAGACATAATGAACAGACCGCATTTGACGATTCTTTGTGTTAGTACAATACAAGAGGTACCGAATTCACGTACAAAAAATAGTTCGATACATCGCTTATTTGTCAAAAAATGACTTTTAGTAATTAATTTTTGCGCAATAAGAAATAAAAATAGAAAACTCAGAAAAATCATATAGTAAACACAAGTTATGCTTCTGATGTACTAATATTGGCGAAAAAATAGAGCAGCATTCTTTTGACCGTTTTGACTGAAATTTATTAAAATCCGATCAAGTATTCGGATCCGAACTCAAAAGCTTAAAGTTGTCTTTATGAAACTCATCCTCTCTGTCTTATACCTTCATAAGACCGAATCAGATGACGAATGTTTGACTCTATCACACGCACACACAAGGATTAGGTTGTTTTACAGTAATCGAACAATACTTGCTACAGGAAAAAGTGACTGAAGATGGAGAGCGGATTCGGTTGAAAAAAACGGAGGTATATGGCGGATGCCACTTCCGCTTCTCCGAATCTGCTTTTAATTGAATTATCATTGTAAATAAGCATAGAAAAAGGTCATAAATTCTGCTTTACCAATAATACATACAAACTTATTATAAACATATCAATACATCTTAGTTTCATTGTGCCCTTTTTTTCTATTTCATACCCCCACAAAGTACATCACAATAAATATTAGACTAAGCACCTAAACTAATCAAATTTCATGGTTGCATAAACAATCAAACACTGTATTGTATTTCGATTAAGAATAAAAGCTGCCAAGGTAGTAGTGTATGTAACTAATTCTTTTTTAAGATAGAAAGAAAGGACAGAAATAGAGTACTTACCATCCGTTGTAAAATATCGATGTATAAATACAGAACAAAGAAACAAAAATAAAATAGAAAGTAATTGCTTTTGCTCTATAGATTTTGTCCGTAAGAAATTGAATAATGATATCATAAGAAATACAGAGTAAGCCTGCAGTCAATGATACATCCAGTTTCATCATCATCATACACTTTTCAGGTGTCTTCTTAAAAAATTGTATCGTTATAATATGCTAGTATTATACGCTGTCTTTTAATACATACATACAGTTACAGTAGACATGGGAGGAGAAATAATCACTTATGGTCATATTTCTTTCTTTATTTTTTGCATACATCATATCTAATACACAATTTCATTACAAAAACAATATTTCTTTATAGAACTGTTCAAAAATGAA